TATGAACCCAGTGTGCTCTGATTGGTCAGCTCGCCCACTCATGCTGCGTGGGGTCTTGGTGCCGTGTTGGCGGGACGTTGCGGGGCTCGCTGCTCCGCCCTTTGAGGCTCGAGGAGCGGACAGTGTGAGCTGGATTACTGGTGTCATTTCCTGCGTGGGGTCTGCGAGACAGCGAGACACCACGGAACTCAGCCTGAGCTCAGCCTGAGCACACACATACACTCACAGCCATCTGTTCGCCACACAGTTCACCACACACTCACACCCTGAGAAAAGATAAGGGTGTGTGTGTGTGTGTGTGTGTGTGTGTGTGTGTGTGTGTGTGTGTGTGTGTGTGTGTGTGTGTGTGTGTGTGAGGAGCTCCACGGATTGGTCCATTTGCAGCTGGATATGGTTACGCCCCTTTACTCAGGAATAAAAAAAAATGGAAAAAGAGAAATGTCCAACGAGGCGTTCTGGGGCAGCAGAGACAGGTCTTCTCTGTGTTAGAGTTTTACTCGCTTCAGGGTGTACTTTGAGGGTTTGTGACTCTACAGACCGTTTACATGCAGAAAAAGCTTCATAACACACAAGGGGACGGGTAATAACCGGAAAAGCATGACATGGGACCTTTAAGATTCAGATGTCCGACGTCTTAAAACCTTCATCCAGTTAAAATCCATCCTTATCTTAAAAGTATGTTTGAATGGATTAAAAGAGAATGTATTAAAAACAACGCTGAGTCATGCTCAAAAGGGATATAATAACCAAATGAAATGGAAAGTTTCCTTGATTAAAATAACAGATTTCTCTTTAGAAGTGTAGGATAATGTTCAATAAAAACATACAATCTAGGTGTAGTACTTCTTTTGACATGGTATAGGAAACTATAAATGAATAGTAGCAGAATGTACCTCTTGACACTCACAAGAAGACATTAAGGATAACACACATTGAAGCACACAGCATGTACTCACCACCGCAGCAGAGCCACACAGGCCCACGCAGAGCACGTAGCGCAGGTTCACTCTGTCCCCAATCACACCGCTGAAATACAGACCCTGCGTGGACAACATAAAGTTAGGCAAATGACAAAAAGATGTCTGTTTCAGTTGTTTAAAACATGTGTTAAAATCGTGTACCCCACTCACCACTGCGTATGAGAAGAGGAAGATGGTGTCCAGAGCTCCCAGGAACAGAGTGGCCTGCTCTTTATCAGCAAACAGATGATTGCCCTCCCATGTCTGGAGCAGTCAGAGAAAAACAGTTTGTTACACATGCAGGGTGTTTAAGTGTTAAGGGCTCTGACGCTGCTCTGTTCTGTTCTACTGGTACCTGGCCGGGAGAAAAAGCTGCTGCGCTGCCATTTGTAAAAGCAGGCGTCCACTGAGCGGAGATGCTGACTTTCACATTGCTGAACGTCTTCCTGGAGGCATGGAGCAGCACATAGCTGGAGAAACAGAGAACAGCTTGAATCAACAGGGGTTTGTTTGAGATTTGTTTAAACGTTCCACGTAGAATGAACGGGTCAAAGTTCATATTTAAGCTGGAGGTGATGCTGTTTAACATCAGTTGAAAAGTGTCAATTATTCACGTATGAATTATACCATCACTCACTATAATCTGTACTATGACCACTAGAAGTCTTAGGCTACATCCAGAATGTTACGTTCCAAAGAAGTATCAGTTTAATTCTCCAGAAAGACTTTGCAGGAAACAATGGAATCCCACATAAATCTAAAACAGAAACAGGAAGTGGCTGAAATCACGGCTATCTGCTGCACACGGCACTTTGCTTTGCTCCTGATAGTGTTTGGACACGGCTGCAGACATGTGACACCACGTCTACTGTAATCAAAGATTTAACAGCACTGACTGGAATAAACACACAGCATGGAATTTACTCAGTGGCAATACAAATGATTTTTATCCTCGTCTGTTTAACATTGCAAAACATTCTTTATTTACTCGGTTATAGAAAATGTGTGTGGGAGAGAGACTCCCAACTTTGGGATTTTAGCCTTTGCAGACCATTTACATAGACAAAAACCTATATAACACACTATAGGAAAGAGAAAACCCCCAAAAGCATTACAGGGCCTCTTTGAGACCCCCCCCCCAATTGGTCTAGTAACCCTTTTTAGTGGAAATCATTGTCCTTGTTATCTTGATCTCGTCTGACCTGGGTTAGCTTTGTCTTATAAACCTTTCACCTACATTTATATCTCATCCATACACAGTGTACCCTCTTAAATCAACCCCACTACTTTCTTGGGGTTACAAAACTCATTTCCCCCCCATCTATCCAGTGACCGCTTGAGCCAATCTATTCATTATTGGGTTTCCAGTTACTCTGAAGACATGGAGGGTGAACGGAAATATGGATACAGCAGGTTTTGAAGGGAAGACTTTAAGGATAACCTGGATTACCTAAAGAAGGTGAGGAGGAAGGCAACCAGATGGTGATGAGTGTACTGTGACAGACAGCCACAGCACGAGGGAGGCATCACAGGGGCGGCCGGGGGAGGGGGGGGGAAGAGGAGGAGGTGGAGGACGGGGAAGGAGGAAGTGGTGGAGGTCTTCAGGGGGAACAGCAACAGGAAAGGGAACGGGTTCAGCTATAGAGTCCTGCTACGGCAGATGGTACAAGCACATCACTAGGGGAACAACAAAGAAAAGAAGGAATTGGAAACCATTGTAAAATTGTGTATTATATGTCATACAGAATACTGACTGCAGACATTTTGTATTAGTCCTTAGATGAATAACTGAGGACACAACAATTATTACAAGAGAAAATAAAAAGGATATGCATGAAGTAACACCTGATTTACAATTACCAAACATCCCAGGTTCAAAGCAGCTGACAACAGATTTCAAAAACATTCAAACGTTAGGGAGTACTGAATTTGTACCTGATTTTACCAATCCTTGGTGAGTCTGAGATGCTAGCTTGTAGAAAGTATCCGTCCGTTTGGGAGTAAAAAAACGAATAGAAATAGAACTGGTCTGAATGCTGGGTTGTGCCCACAGGTATAATGGGCCCAGTGTGAACTAACTGACTGCCTCCAGATCCATTACCCCTCCCCCACCAGCCCGCTCAGCAACTTTTTTTTTTAACCCTGATGCAATTCTGATACTTCAACTTTGAGTATCTGCCGATACCAAGTACTGATCCAATACCAGTGCAGTAGAAGCAAACTCAAACTCGTGTTTTTAAAAGGTAGACATGATCCCAGATGTTGCAGATGTATGAAAAACTGGCACAGTGACTGAATGGATTTATGTTTAATGTCAACGACAAAGAAACTGTATTTAATGTGTATCAGTTATTGCTTTGCTTTTTCTAATAAACACTGGTATGAAAGTCAAGGGCCTCACTTTCATTTCCTTCATAACAAGCGTATGTTTTTTCACATGACGTTTACAGCACCCATTCAATTCAGGCTATTATCTAAGCTGCCCGCGAGGGAGAGAGTAAATAGATACATATTTACTCTGTTGGGTACTTTAACTTGTGGTTGAAAAGAACTAAAGAGTGCTTTTAAATCAATAACTCTTGTACAGTAAAGTACAAGTATCACAAATATTGTCCTTAGGTAAAATACTTAAGTAAATGTACAAAGTGACATTCCACCACTGCCTGTTCCACAAGAATGCCTCATTTTTTCTTGCAACATATGGCAGGTAGAGTAAGTGCTCACCTCCTAAAATGCTTGTTAGAGAAACTCCCTGAAGGTAAAAGGGATATGCAATGTTTGGTGACAATTTTAAAACAGAAAGCAACATTACACTACATCACACTAAAAGGGAAAAGGTAAGCAGGACGTCGTGTTTAAAGGACGCCATCAATTTTCTCTAGATCTCATTACAAAAGCTTAATCACTATTGTCATGATTTTAGTGGTTAAATAAATGGTTTAGTGTGTTATAAATGAACACATCATCTTTTTTTACCAACACATCCGTAAATATCCTGTCATTTGTACACATTTTGGTTAGTTTTAAATGGAGAATGGACTACTTTTACTCAAACAAAACAGTCTCTGTCCACATTAGTGAGTGACAAGGCAGCTAGCTTTGGTCATATTTGTTGACAGTAGCCTCCATCTCCATAGCCAGTTCCGGGCTCGTATTACACGTAAAAATCAAAGCAAGCATATATGAAAAAAATACTGTTAGTTGCAGTTTCACACTCTTAATAAAACACATATGCACCAAGTGTTTTTCTTACCTTTCTGCTACTTTAGTCGTTACTGGCTTGTCCTCGGTGCGGCGTCGGTTTGTGTTTACTGTGCACTCTGGTGTCGCGGAGGTAGCTGGCCGCAGAGACTCAGTGCTGCCCCCGCAGGACAGGAGGGGAACGACAGGCTGAAAATAAACAGACAGCTGTTGAGCCTTCACCTGTCACTGCAACACTTGTTGCATGGTTTTAAAAAGTCCCCGCCAAAAACCGTGTAGTTAAATACCCTGGCTGCACTGTGTGACACTGACAAAGGGATCCGTCACTGAGTTTTGCCTGCACTTCGATTCTGGTAAGCCTTTGGTAAGTACTTTTACTTCACTTGAGTATTTTCTTATGGTACTTTATACTTGTACTCCACTACAATTTTGAAGCCAATATTGTACTGTTTACGCCACTACATTTATATGACAAAATTATTTTAAAGTGGGACGTTACGCACAGTAAGTACTTTTACTTTTTGTACTTTAAGTATTTTTTGATGCCAATACTTATGTACTTATAATTTAGTAAGATTTTAAATGCAAGACTTTTACTTGTATTTTTACAGTGTAGTATTTATACTTTTACTTACTTTACTTTGCACTTCTAACACCACCACTGTTAATGATCGAATTAACAGTTAACGAGTTTAACACATCTTAAAAGACGTCAACAAATATAAGTCCATGTCAACAACAAAAATGTGTGTAGAAAAAACGTACATTACTCGCAAAAACACAAAGTAGCCTATTTAGTTGTTTGCTTTCTATACTGACTTTTAAATCAGTGCCTCTGTAATATATGACTTAAAGCTTACCTCTTAGAGTTAATTTATATTTTTAAAAACACTTCCTGGTAGTTGGATTTTCATTGGCATTACCATTTAAAAAAAGACTTGCAGTTTTCAAATCCCTTGGAACTCTCTTATGCCCCGGGGCAAAGAGGGTGGGCTGACATGCTACAGCTGCACCAGCAACTGTGGCTCAGAAACAGTTGTGATGTGAATTCCAAAGAACCGCGGATTTGGAGGGAAATTAAAGGGGCCCTATTATGGTCATTTTCAGGGTTCATATTTGTATTTAGTGTCTCTACTGTGACATGTTTCTATGCTTTAAAGGTGGGGTAGGTAATTTTGGAGAAACCAGCTCGAGTGCGCTAGAATTTGAAAATACACAGCCACCGGAACAAATCTGCCACTTCCTTACAGAGCCCCTCCTCCAACACACACGAACGTGCACATGACCAATGAGGGCACGAGATAAGTTTGTGCACAGATGGAAGGCTGACAGGCAGGTAGGCCATCCAGTTATTTTAGCCGGGCCGCCTAAAATGATTGGTCGTGCTTTTTACAGTACTACGGCTTCCACAGATGACATTTTTTTAATGGATTTTTTGTCAAAGCACTTCAGATATTCATTGCTATCGGGATGTTAAGAGCATTCCATGGAATATAACAAAAAGTGTATCTCGAGCAGGTTTCTCAAACTTACCTACCCCACCTTTGATGGAATACAAAAATATTGCTGCTATGAAAGCAAGGGTCTGCATTAAAGAAGTGACGCCCTGCTTTGGAAAACAATGCAATACAACAGACTCTTTATAAGTAAATAACAGCTGATAGACAATACTACTAGGGTGTTACCCACATGTGAAGTTGCATTTGCATTTTTTTTTATATTGTTCACTGTTTTCTTTTGAAACTACTAAAAAGAGCATTTTCTTTCTATATACTGACTTCATACTTATTCCATATCCCTTTCCGGGGGTTTCCACAGTCTGAATACAATTCTCCCCTTATCAATGTCTCAAAATTGAATGAAGGCGAGATACGAGAGGAATGATGCATCCTGACATTCTATTTTTGAGAGATGGTGCTCAGACTTTTTAATGATGGGGAACCATGAGCATTGTGACATGGGGATACACTGCAGCATCGTGTGTAGTAGAGCACCTCCATTCATGCGTAGCCCCACTGACCCAATAGATCATAGCCCCCGGCCTGTCGCCTCCTATCTGCATCCATCCTGTTACTCCTGAAGAATGAATCTCTGTAGTGTGTGAGCAGTTCAAAAGTGAAAGCTTTGCTAGGGGAGTAATGAACAACCTTATTGTTGCACTTCGGATTTTTCAGCCTTCCCATATCTCTGCCAGGTGCTTTCTGTCTGGCTGTCCTCTGAGACAGAAATAAAGTAAGGCCAAACAGCCTCACTGGCAGACACACAGAAAACTCCCATTCCCTGTACGACGGAGAGTAAGAAAAGATGTCATCTCACTTTTTTGCTTTTTTCACATACAGGGATCACTGCTGAGATGCTGAGTTGCAGGTCTAGCAAAAGATCTCTCTGTGGGAAAAGCCTGCCTGAAGTCTTGTCTCACTGCCTCTCCCATTCTTACTTTATTTAACAGCATCTGTCGATCGCTGTCCATTCCCTTTTCTCTTTGTAATCCCTTCCACTCCCTCTGCTGCTTGCAGTCTTTCGTTACATTCCCTATTATTATTCTCTGGATTGGAAGTTATATCGTGATGAAATCGTTCATGCACTAGGTGATATTGGATTTTAAACTAATCTGTTGATCTATTCCGTACTCAGACACAATCTATAAAGCAGGGATTTTTAGACATCAAGAAAAAACAGTTTCTTGCTGTTCTACAACCCTCAGTAAACAAACTTAAAATACAAAGATAAACTACATTATTGAAACAATCCCTGTAGACCTCAGTGTTAAACCAGGTTCAAATGAAATCAACAGCATTGAAGCTTGTTAGAGGTTTATAATTCCAGTGTGCAAACGTTGCTCTTAGTATGATTTTTAGTTAGTTAGACTGTCTCTGTGGCTTTCCTTGACATTATTCATCCCTTCACACTGTCAAGATTTCAGGTTTTGTTTCAGATGCAGTGCGGACCCACAAGAGGCATATTGTTGGCCTTGATACTTGGATGTTAGTGAAACTCTGGATATTTATTTACAGTACTATACTCTGGGGGGAGGGGCAGGCCATCACATATAAGCGCATGACAGATGGCCTGCAAGGTTTACTGCCCTACCTTAAAGTGTGTCAGGCGGTTTGGGTGTTGTTTTTTAATTTATGCTCCTCATGAGCTGACCTGTGTCCTTGTACTAGTATTGGAGAAAAGGGCTGGGTATCAATCATATTTGGTCCATAGCACTGGGAAACAGAAGCAGACATTTGCTGAAATTTGAACCGATACTTTGGGATTATGTTTTTATTTTGAAGATAGCTGATTCATATAATTAATTTGTGAAAAAGTCATTATTAAAGCAAAACAAGCTTGTAAGTGTGTTTTATGTTATGAACAATTATTCGCTCAAATAGATACATCGGGATAGTTATTTTGTTAAAGGGGACCTATCATGCAAAATGCACTTTTGTTCGTCTTTTATACATGAATATGTGTCCCCGGTGTTCCAGGGAACTCACCAAGAGTCAGAAAACACAACCCTCTCTATTTTCCTCCATACCCAAATCTCTTAAAAAGGGGCTGCAACGGATCTGATACAGACTGATCCAGATTTGAACACTGTCCTGACGTCAGGACGGTGGCGCTACGGCTATAGGGCCAACTCTCCACCTATCAGGGGAATGTGGGGTTGGGCCACGGCCGGCCATTGCCGCTCGAAAGCGCTGGACACGCTGTAGTAGGCCTACATATGCCAGGCCTGTAAGTGGCGCTGTAGTCTGCCACAAAAGCAGCGAAGAAGACTTCGCGTGCATGGTTGCCATGGTTGCCCTTCTGTTTATTTTCCGCTGTGGCTCCACAGAATCAGCCCCCTGCAAAAACAGGGCTGGAGAACAGCATAGAAATGAGGCATGGCTAGAATGTATGATCTGTTTGGTATTTTGAAAACAGAAACATATAAATATACCTTATATAGGTATGGCCCTACAATATATAATTTACATATAGCATGATAGGTGTCCTTTAAATTCAATTTTTTAAATTTTTTTTTATTTAACCAGATAAAAGCATTGAGATCAAATCTAATTTTCAATGCTGACCTGGCCAAGAAGGCAGCAAAGTTACACATAACACATAAAATACAGAGAACATAACTAAGAAAACAAAAGACGAAAAAAGCAGTCACGACAGTAAGAAAGGCACTACTTATTACTGCAAGAGCAGCTGGTGGTAAGGACCTCAGACAACTTCAATTTCAAACAGGCTATAGAGACAAGTGCCGTCAGTTTGAGGCGTGATTGAAGGTCATTCCAAGACCAAGGACCATAATAAAAAAGACTCCTTTTTCCAGCCTCAGTCCGCACAGCAGGAACCTGGACCCGTATGGTTCTGAGGTTGTAAGAGTCACAAACTGGAGCAAATCTGGCACATATGTAGAGTGGAAGCTTTCCTAAAATGGCTTACTCATGAATAAAAACCAATATGACGTTCCGGACAAACAACTAGTTGTCATCTAGTTAGGGGGAAAAACTCATCAAGGAAGACTGGTTTTTTGGAGCCGTCGTTTCTGTGTTTCCCGTCTATGACCCCTGTTATTAGGTGAGTTGCAAACTTAAATGCACCCCCTACCCCCGCAACACACTTTTACACCTCTGAGCACAAGTTTTCGTGCTTTTTCTTTGCAGCGTGTATGTGCTGATCGTATCGGGGTAGTAAAGCGAGTATCTGTTGTCTGTTTGGTTGGTCGCGCTGATCGTAGTTTTTTCTCTCGCGTGAGTATTCACGATGTCTGTCCAGTCAAACGATTACCGGTCGCGTAGCGATTTATGAGATCGGAATGTTATTTGTTCTTGTTCTTTTGATCAGTAGAAGAGTTAGTTGTGTTGCTCTCGGAAGCCGTCCGTTTTTTTTGGTGTTTCAACGTGCGTTTTAGTCCAGTCGTTAACCCCGATTCACGCCCGTTGGTATATCGGAGAGTATAACGGGCCCCACCCCACCAACAGCACATCAGCTTGCATCACATCATATATCTATTCCCATCTAGGTACGCTAATCTCCACGAGCGGACATACTTACCGGCGTCTTGGAGAATTCAAAGTAAGTGTAGGTCGGACAGTCTAGTAGTGTATAATAGATATGGTTTGGTTGCGTTGTATGGCAGGCTTTGTCTGACACCGGTTTACTAA